ATCTTGCTAAACAGACATGAAGGTCTGTGTCCAAATACTGAGAAGTTCCCAGTGTGTTGTCTGGGCAGAGTATGGGACCACACCTCAGTCTTGCTAAACAGACATGAAGGTCTGAGAAGTTCCCAGTGTGTTCTCTGGGCAGAGTATGGGACCACACCTCAGTTCAGACCCCAGCACCAGTTTTATATTTCCCTGGCAAGGGCAGGACCTTCTTTAACTGGTACTCGTTGGAAGAAAAAGAATCTTCTTCTCTGAAAGCCTGACTATCCTGCAGCTTGTCTGTAAAACAGTGTTGCTTCCAATGCAGAGGGATCTCAGAGCTTCCTGGGGCTTTGCCAGAGCTCCTTTTTGTTGTGCTTTTATTCGAAAGACCAAGGATGAAACAAAGCCCTGCACAAACCCTGTATTATACAACAGAGATACAGCTGAAGGGCTGGGAGAAGAGGACACAGGCTCTAGAGATTCCCATGCAATGCCATTGCCTTGCACAGCATTAGCAGTTTCACAGGATGTGGAAGCTGGAAGCCAAGTCAGTGGTTAGATCTCATGGTTCAGACAGACCATGAATCTGTGAAAGGTGTAGAGAACGAGGAAGAAGAGGGAATGTTTAGAGAAGGAAGGAAGGAAGGAAGGAAGGAAGGAAGGAAGGAAGGAAGGAAGGAAGGAAGGAAGGAAGAAAAGGAAGAAAAAGGAAAGGAAGGAAGGAAGGAAGGAAGGAAGGAAGGAAGGAAGGAAGGAAGGAAGGAAGGAAGGAAGACAATGGAGAAAATCATTGAAATAAGAAAAATAAGGAGGAAAACAAAAAGATAAATAAAAGGAAAGTCTCCTAAAGTATATAATTCCTGAGAGAGAACTGAAATACCAAAAATGGGGAGACAACTCCCTATCTGGATAATAGACTAGACATAAAAAACTTATTTGACCCTTTAAAAAAGAGGAATAAGTTAGGAGCTAATGGGATTTTCTGCTTCTAGATTCTGTGATTTTTTTTTTTTTGCCCTTGGACTGAGGCCAAGAATTATCTATTAGTGCTTTCAGGCTGAAAACAAAACTGCCATTCATTCCAGTGAGAAGCTTCACTCTCTGTCACCTCCCTGTGCTTATTAGAATATCATTCAGGCTAGGAACTGCCCCATTTGCAGTCTGCTCCATCAGTCATCCCAGAGCTGCTGCTTTGCCAGCCTGCAAACAATGGATTCATAGAGCAGCAGAGCAGGAGCAAAACATGCAACTCATTGCAGGGAGGGTTGGCAACAAATCTGAATTCAAAAGGATAAAGGGGTAAATATTTGAATCATCTGAGGTGGCCTTGTAATAGAAGCAAAACAGACGTGTCCTAGGTTACAATGTAGGGTGTACCCAATAGCATGTACTCTATTTTCATCTTCACAAGCTGTTAAAGCAGGTGGAGCAGTGCTCCTTATCTCCTACTCATCCCTGCTGGCTCCTCAGGGGCTGTCTCTGTTTCATGGGCTGTCAGGGACCCAGGCAGGACCCAGAGAATTACATGGTCCCATGGGGAGATTCTGCACCCCAAGGGGAGGAGCCAAGCATTCCCACATGGGGAGGGGAGCCAAGCATTCCCACAGGGATATAAGCTGGGGTTTGGACCAGCACAGAGCCCTTACCTACTGCATTCCCAGAGGACAAGAGCTACCACTGGACCTTCAGCTGAAGAGCAGATCTACAGGGTCACTGCTCCAACAGACCCATCCCTCCAGGAGGATGCAGCCACCATTTAACGGGACTGCTACCAACACCCTGACTGACAGGGGGTCAGGTTGCTTTCTGACTCTGTCAGTGGTTTCTTTTTGTACTGTTGCATTTATTGTTTTGGTTTTCCTATTAAATTGTATTTCTGACTTGGAGTCTCTCACTGCTTTGCTTTCAAACCAGCACAGGATGGAATCCACACAGACTGTGAGGTGGCAAGATGTGATACCTCACTAGCAGGAATTCAGCTTGACCACTCTTTCACACTTGAGCATAAAACTGAAATCTGGGATGCAGCTCTGATAGATACGAACCCAAGAATGAATGACACTCTCACTTCATTGCATGAGAATGGCACACTAGCAAAGACTAAAAGAAACATTTTAGTCCCAGATTTACATTGGATCACTTCTCTCACAGATATCTGTAGCAGGACACTGCCTAAGTGGGGATACAGCAGCTTCAAGGTTGTCTCCTAGTCGTACTGGTGACGGCCTGAGCAAAGAGGGTCTGCTGTTTGGTGGAGCACGGCGGGTTCCCATAGACTCAGTCTCCTTTGGACATCCACCTGCTCTGGTGTGGGTCTCCTCCAGGGGCTGCAGGTGATCTCTGCACTCTGCCAACCTCCATGGGCTGCAGGGCACAGCTGCTTCACCATGGGCTGCACCACAGGCTGCAGGGGATCCTCAGCTCCAGCACCTCCCTCTCCTGCTCCACTGACCTTGGCATCTGCAGAGCTGTTACTCTCACATATTCTCTCTCCTCTCTTCTCTGGCCACAATTACTTTCGTGCAATAACTGTTTTCCTTCTTAACTCTGTTATCCCCGAGGTGTTCACTGCCACTACTGATGGGCCGTGCCTTGGCCACAGTGGGTCCATCCTGGAGCCGCTGGCATTGGCTCGGCCTGACATGGGGAAGCTTCTAGCAGCTTCCCACAGAAGCCACTCCTGCAGCCCCCACTGCCAAAACCTGCCATGCAGACCCACTGCACCATCCTCGGAAGTTTACAAGAGCAGACTGGGTTAAGCTGGGAGCAACTTGGTCTGCATTCAGTGTTGGCCCTGCTTTCAGCAGAGGTTGGACTGGAGACCTTCTAAGTAATGATTCCTGATTCAGGGGCTGAATCCCATGGCTACTGCCTTCTCACAGTTGGCAAATCACTTGCTAATAACCCTAGCCATGATACTTACATGGAATTAACCAGCTCATAGCAGGTCTGACAGACAGACTATCTTCTATCCAGCAAATTAATGTAAGAAAGCATTAGCAGTGGAACTCTTGATCCATAGCCAATTGTCATCTGCTTCCATGCTGTCCTTATTCTCACTTTGCCACTTAGTTTATGAGTTCCTCGGGGCAGAGGCTCTCTCTCTTTCCATGTCTGTATAGCACTTGGCTACTGCTGCTGTTTAAGCAATACCAATAGACCCTAACATCCCAGCAAGAACTAAACTCTGAACTGTCGGACTGTGAGCTCAGCCTCTGATTCAGCAGCATTATTTCTGGAGAGTGCTATATCTAGCACGGCAGGCTCATTGCACCTGAGGAAACCAAGCCCTAAATGCAAAACTATAAGGGCTATTAGATGTTTCTGATTCATACTCATTCATTGTTACTGCTTACCATGATGTGGCCACATGGAGAACCAGGGTGGCTGTGCCACGGCTGCACGGTCTTGGAACAAGAAATGACAGGAAAGGACTTGACATTTGTGTTTTTAGCCACAGGCCTGTTCTAAAATGCTGCCTGTGCTCCAGAGCTCACCCAGTGTGTCCAGGCATGAGGGACTGTACAGCAATCACATCACTGCTGGCCAAAAGCACAAAAGGACAAAACAGCTCAATAAACTACGTGGTGAACCTGACCTTATGATCCTTCGAATGGCCACTATGCTTGTTTCTGTTTGAAAGTTAATTGCTCTGTAATAAGGTCACTTATTAAACGTTGGATCACTCAGTACAGTTGTGAAGACTCTGCTGCTGCCCCTTATTTATCAGCTCTTCCAAATAACTTACTGACAAGACATTTAAATACGGCAGTTAATTATGCTGTGTTTCCATTAGCAAGTTGTTTCCTTGACAGCTCCCACTCACCACTTTTGAGACTATTTAGGTCCTTTTAAAAATAATTTAGAAAGCATCTAATAACTGCCTCGCACTAAACCAGCCTAAGAATAATTTGCCAATCATTAGGAAGCCTCATCTAGCTACAGGGGTGCCAGAAACAGAGGCAACTCATGACAACTTTTGGACTTGAGTATTGGCATAGTAATTCTGAAAGATGAAGCTTCCACAGAAGAATGCAATGGAGCTAAGCCGACCCAACGGAGAGACAAGGTATGCTTACTGCCTTTACACCAGGCAGTGCCAACAGGGACAGCAGCACATGAAGAAAAAGTCAATAAACTAATAATAGGAGACACAAAATACATGATGGAGCTAAAGAATTCTCAAAGGCACTGACATTAAAGTAATAATCTGAAAAGAAGGAGCTAAAATGCTAGTGACTCACACAGTAGAACAAAAGTTGCAAATCTTTCTTGAAGAGAGACACAGAATTCACCATTCGCATGACCCGGGAAATGTTAATAGCTTTGTGTTTGCTGGAGCTGATTTTTGTGCCCTGGGACAGAATCAATCCACCAGTGGAAAGACAGTTAGTTTTACTCTTCTACTGAGGTGCATGGATTTACAAAAGGACTTTCAACAACAGAAAGGTCACCCCAGTCCTAGACTTGCAGGCTGGACCTGCTTGTAAAACCTGGAAGGGTTTTCTTTTTGTTCTGAAATAATAATTGTCCAGATTCCCTAGTTCTACCTTATGCAAGAGTCCTTCAGTCTCAGGGGGAAGTTTGTGCAGAATATCACTGAAGAACAAGATATGAAACAGAACTGAAGCAGACCAGCTGGATTAACTGTTGGTAAAAGGCTCTCAAAATGCTGTAAACTGCAAGAGCAAAGCCTTGTTTGTCCTGACTCTCACCCTAATGTTTAGGGACAGCTGAAAATGTTTCAATTACTCGAATCAGTGGAAGCCTCTGCAATGAACATCCTTCTTGGACTGTAGCTAGCAGAATTTTTTCCCCAGATACCACATGCTGTCTGTTCCACTCATCAGACACAAATTAAGAGCATCAGATAACGATGCAAATGCATCAGTTCTTCCAACATCAAGGAGAAATTAATTGTAGCACATCCTC